GAATCCCACTCTTGGTATCTCTGTGGAAGCACAAACTTCACAAGTTTTGTTTTCTGTCAACATCCAACTCCAAACAATTTGTTCATGTTTTATAATGAAACAGAACTCTGCATGAGAATGGTTTATTTGCTGGCTTGAGAAGTAACTGCTTTCCCCTCTAGACTTCTGGGAGTGCTAACTTTTGCTGTTAGCACAGGGTTTGTTAGAGCAACAGACCAAACCACACTGCTGGAAACTCTTTGGGCAGACATGACTTATGACACAGAATCTAGGATAACGTGGAAGATTTCAGGGCTCACCTGTGCACTAAGGGGCATCTGGTAGTGTTTCACAATCCAAACTCACTCTTAGATAGCTTGGCTGGATTAATCATTTGTAGGCCTAACCATGATAAGCTCCATGAGAAATCACAGGTCTAGTGACTACTCCTACAAGGACTTGACATCCACTGTGCCACAGATAAGAAAGCCTAAGTTCTAGCATGAAGGTTAATGACAGCTAGACAACCTGTGAAAAGTTCTCACCTAACTTTGTAGGCACCTGTATCTGCTCTAGCTGTCTAGTCTCCTTTAGATAGGTCTAAATCCAGGTCTGAATTCAGGAGGATCCCTCACCATGCACTTCAGCTACAGCTGATACCTGAACTACTCCAAATGACTCTGTCTCAACTAAGGCAGTTAAAGCTAGTTCCTTCAGCCTTCCCTTAGGGGCAGGGGAGAGGAGAAGAACTCTTCAAAGAGTGATGTGTCCCAACACTGACATTTCTTGCCCAAGTATCCATCAAGATTTCAGGCCAGTCCTCTTCAACACAGTTACCAGCCTAAATACAAGTGCAAAGTCCAGTGCAGTCTATCTCCTAACTTAGCAGGGCCTTTGGAAATATGGATTCACTGAGCTTGGAAAGTATTTTGGAAAACCCTATCCTTCTGTTTCCTCCCTACCAAGTTAATTTCCCAGTACTATTTCTAATCTCCTATTTTCCTACACTCCTGTCATGGTAATCTGAAGCATCAGATTTGGTTGCTGATGTTGGTTGGAACAAAATTCCCTTTTGTGCAGCTGTTTCTCTGCCACATCACACACCTTCACAAGGCTGTTATTGCATGTAAGCCCCAATATATTTATTTGAAGGTCAGTAGAACCTGAACCTCTGTTACTCAGTCCTAAAGGTGTAGAAATAAACCTGACCCTGAGTCTGGAAAACAGATTGTGTGTTTCTTGCCCAACACTCCATTCTCAAGAAGGAATACATTTGTAACTTGTGGGATGCTAAGATCAAACACAAGGTTTGAAATTATTGATTTATGAAGAAATAATAATGAGCTTTGCAAGGGAAACTTGGCAGAGAGACCTTGAAAAATCCAATTCACCCACAAGCCTTAGTTTAAAGATGGTAACTTGGACCAAGTCTGCTTCTTTAAAGGATAAGTGATGCAGTGGCTCTTCTTTCTTCCCTTCCATAGCTCTTGTGCTGAAGCTTATGCTCATGCAGAAAATATCTTTGCCAACAAGTTACATTCTGACAATACTCACACTGCACTGGTCTTTCCCCAAAGGAATCAATTCCTTACCCTACAAACAGTTCTTTTCTTCCATACTCCTTTGCCTTCACATTCTGCCAAGCATTTGATATCAATAAAGACAAAGCTGCTGTCATATTGCCAGAGTAACAGAATGCTTTATTTCTGGTTTGGGGTTTGACCACTGTTTTTAACTACAACACTAATTTGCTGAGCTTCCTATTTCCTTTGCTTTAGGGTTTGGGGTTGGTTGTGTTCCCCCCCCTCCTCCCCAGTATTTTGGGTGTCAGCAAAGGTGGCAAAGCTTTCATTTCTTAAAAACCTTCATCACAGTTTCTACATAATGA